ACTGCTGGGAAAAAAAAACTGCTCAAAATTGTCATCCTTAAAATTTACAGTATGGGGCCATCGCTGTATTAGTTTACACCATCTGTAACAAAAGAGATTCTTGTTGTCTTGGCACAGCCCTTCTAATAGTCTTCAGTCCTCACAGGAGACAAATATTTTACATGCAGTTTCCTTCAAGGCAAAGAACACAGAATTCTGTGTCGATTTTTAATTTTAAGATAAATACTTTCACTTCCAGTTTGCCACAAGCAAAAATCACTAGAAGTATGAGCCTTTTAGGAGTTTTGTAAAATAAATATGCTAGTCTAGAAAAACTGTTATTTTTTTACAGATGATTTTACAGTTTAGTTTTTCTATGGTCAGTTGTGCACTACTGCAGTCAGAAAAGATGAATTTATTCCTCTAAGGAATTAATGCAGTACTGAAGGATTATGTTATGGTCTCCTAATTATTTTATGGCACCCTATAGAGAGAATCGACTTCAAACAACACCATACTTCTGTTGATGAAAACATTGCTCTACTTATGTGTCATTTTAGTGTGGCATAGCAGGCTGTCACAATCTACCTCCTGCATGCAAGTCAAGCTTTTACTAATGTTAAAATCTTAATTATGTCTCTATACTTAATTCAAGAACATTGAGCCAAATTCTTCCCCAAAACAGTGGAAAATAAGGGAATACCCCTAACAACAGATGGGGGATGGAAGGCTGTATTTGTTTCCTTTATATGAAGACTCTGTGTGAAATCTTTGCTCTACTGGAGACCACTGGAATCAGTGACAAGTTTGCATAACCTGTTTCGAGAGCTACAGAAGGCTCACAGGAGTTGTATTCAGCACTCAAATTATAGCTAAAATTTTGAAAGAAGCCTAGGGACATGCCTATCAAATATAGCCAATATAGTAATTCAGTGGCCATTCATTGATTTTCTTACATAATTCCACTCTATATGAGGCCATATGAACTTGGGAACCGATTCTGAATGGAATGTCAAACAATTTTGTTCTAGGAAATGCAAAAATATAAAAAGCAACCCCACTTGCAATTATCATTATTTGTTGCTTAAACAAATATTACCATTTCATAGAGAAAAATTAAAATGCATTAGGTCCTGCTAATGCTTTTCAGTGCTGAAAATATTCCCAAGATGCTTTTGCTAAAATAATGACTCGAGGAAATGTAGTCAAAGACACTTCCCTGCACCCTCAAATAGGCCACGCACAGATGATCACAAAACATGCATTTCGAGTCACTGTTTTGACTAAAGACTCAGTTTTCTGGGGTTCAACACCTGAAGCTTCCTGCCCTGCCTTTGCTCTGCTGAGTTGGTAGCAATTGAACCATTTCACCATTAAGCTACTTCACGGTATGTTCCTCTACAGTTTCAGTGATTTTCTGGCGGGTAATCTCTCAGACCATCATTAACACATTACAGTCAGAGGCAATCGTGAGAGAATGATCAATTAACCAAGTGATTAGCAATTTTCTTTGCCCTGTCCCACCCCCTAAAATTAAGTGGTTCAGGCTTGACCAGGTGCCACAACGAAAACAAGCAAATAGCATTTTACCTCATTATTCCTGTCTGAATAGCAAATTACCTAAAACCAACTTGTTTCAGCCATGGCAATGAGGAGCTGCAAATTGTTTGTTAGCGTTGTCTTCTTTATGTGTCCTTTCTGCTAAGAGTTCTATTGCAGCACTTGCTATTTATAAAGCAACAACACAAAATACTTCACAGGAATCCAGTTGGATAATGGTTTAACAGCTGAAAAGTGGCAGCAGCACAGAGTAGAGTCTCGGATACAAAGAGAGGAGTAACAATTTCTTTTTTGCATGAGTGACCTTCCTGAAGTCAATAGAAAAACATAGACACTTAAGGAATAATATGATGCAAGTCAGAAGAGGTGCTGAGCATGATTTTAAGGAGGAATGATCTTCAGGATTTTAAATGCATCTTCTAAAAGTAATAAATTATAATAAATTGTAATAACCTAAATAATTGTAATAACTTAACTGACACACTCATGAATGTGAACTCCTCCAAATCTTATCTTTCCCTACTTTACCAGGTTATCTTCCCTTACTTCCCCTGCCCTCCTCCCCCTACCTCATTTACATTTTTTTCATATACAGAAAAGCCATCTTGCTCCAGGAAGAGTCATATATTTGGGCACTGGGAAAGGTCTGTGATTCATCCTGCTAAAATATGAGACCAGCATGTCCCCACGACTTAAAAATACAGCACCTTTATTAATCTGAAAGGGAAGAGACACATTTGTGTATGGAAACAGGTTGCAGGAATATTCTGGGTTCAAAAGCTAAACAACTGTCATAATGAGTAGCAAAGTCTAATTACCTGGGGGAGGAACGGAACAGGATGGACCACAATCAGTTAAAATGAAACATTTTCACTTACAGTTTAAGAACAGAAACTGATGCAGAAAGATACAGCTCTTAGTTCACCTCCCTATTCCTTTGCTCCTGGTTGAAAAAAAGTTTACTGGAAACCTGTATTAGTGGCACAGCACTGTCTCTGGCCCACTTCCAGGACAGGTTCTCATCGGAGCAAATCCCTTCGGTTCTTCCTAGGCTCATTCCCTATTTGCAAGTTCCTTAGTCAACTAAATAAGCAGTGGTGGTGTTCACATGTTTCTCCTTTCTTAATTAATCTGTGTTTGCTATTTGCTGGATGGAAATCTTAAACAATCTCCCACTAAAGTTGTATTCTAACTCGTGGTGATTTTGCCAGTCAGCACATTTCATCCATCGCTTGTAGGGACATCCAGCACTTCAGAGAAATCTCATGATTCAGACCAATATATGGAATTAATTCCTGTATATGCAGTCAGCTGGCACACAGAGATTTAAATACGCATCACTATGGATCAGAGTATGCCCATCTCTGTAGAAGAAGCTGGGACAAATCAACATCAGTAACATTATCAAACTCGGTTGGGAAATTTGGTGAGCGAAAGTCTAAGCTTCTGCAAATCTGCCAAGTCATATTTAAACATATTTTTGTCTCCAGGCATTTCAGAAGTGTTCTAGATTGGCCTTTGCAGCACTGCTTTACTCCTAAGTTCATGTCCCATTTAGATGTGAAATGCTACAGATTTCTATTTAGATTTACCTCAAAACAATTTACTATATGTAAGTAAAAGTGGAATGGGAGGGTGAAGTTTGGGGACTGCATAGGCCTAATAGCATAGAATTCTACTTTTATTTCATCCTAGTTTTCCTCCCTTCCATCTCTGTTTACAGTATTATTAATTAATTACACAAATAACAGCCTTGGACTGTCTGGTTCCTTTCTTGAAATTGTCATCACTTTTCACACTGCCAGAATTCATTTTCTGACTTTGTAGATTCAGACCTCAGATTTTCTTCTAATGTAAACAGCAGAAAAGCAAGATTGGGCAGCCCACTGGTGATAACACAGTATTAGAGATTGTCTTGAAGAGCTTTGTCCCAAAGTTGCCACATATTAATGTAAACAAAACAGCATCCAAAGTACAAATTAAAGGTGTTCTTTGGAAGTTCTAGTTAACAAAATTTTGATTTCTAGTTAAAAGAACAAAAATTAAAATTCTAAAATTTCAGGAAATTTAACGGTTATTTTAAATATTAATTTTAGAATTTGTTTTAATACAAACTCAACACATTTAATTTTAATTAAGTCAAAGGTATACCATGACTGTAAAAACCAGCTATGAAATGTGATGCATTAAAAATGCTTAAACAGGTAACAAACATTCATACACCAATGCAAAGAAATTAGTAGAGCTAATCAGGCTACATTACAATCCCAGATAAAAGATGAACAGAAACAAAACCTCCGTATAGGGCAGGTGACACTGTAAATTGTTCTTGTTTTCCCTTGAAGAGTCCAATTCCTTCCCCAATTTCCTAGCAGTTTCCAGAGTACAAAAGGGACAACAAAGTGATTTTCTTCAGTTCTTCTGTTTTTAAAAATCTGTTGTTAGCAACAGTGATAAAACACAGCGAGGTTTTAGGATATGCTGTGACAAAACATAACGTGCACTGAAATAGAAACTTTGTGTTGTTTGCCAGATTGCAAAATGTATGGGAATCGTTATTGAAGAATCCCTTCAGAAATACACAAAACAGCACAAAGCAATTCTTTCTGTATGGTGTGAACTCATTTCTTTTAGGGGAAAGTGGTAAACTCCCATTCTACTGCTATTTGCAGGTTACACTTCTCAGACATCAAACGCAAAACAGACAAAAATTAGATATAGCACTAGGTCTGTCTTCAACTTCAGCTCATATTTGAAGGATCACAAGTATTTCTAGAGAAGTTAATGAAGTTTCTTCCACAGAAGCTTTAGTAAAACACTCTGTATTTTTGATTGCAATCTCAAAACCTGAAGTTCAAGGAAGAAATAAGACATTTTTATTAGATGTGACTGTAGTTTAGATGCTTTGTTGTATCTAAACCATCTCAAGCATTACTTAAAATGACATTTCAACGGATACCCATTCTTGTGTTAATACTTTTGCATTAAAAGGAGTAGACTGATATTGTGCATTAGGTTCACTTGCCCAGCCAGCAAATACATAAGAAAAATAACTTAACTTTTGATTTGCTTACAAGCAGCAATATCCACTATAATAACCATATAACATACAGTGAAAGAGTGAGAAATTATATCGAGGAAAACTATCAAACTTAGAACTATTCTTTAGAAACAAATAAAACCACACAGCTATTCATATTTTATGTGGCTAGTACTGCTGCATGAAAAATTTTGCAAAGTAATTACCATAATGCACAAATATTTCTGTAGAAGAAACTAGGAAATAAATCCATTTTGTTAGTGGCATTCTTAAGCATGGATTGTACTATACAGCTCCCATACATGCTCATCAGGTAATTGGTAGGACTTTCCAGCATTTCATCCTTCATAAGCACTGAAAAGTCAATGTTATTTAACTGTTGCACAAATGTTAATAAAAAATCATAATCCAGGGAGCTTACCCTGGGTCAACAGAAAGAATCCCAGAACCATCCAAAGTTATTTCCAAAGTCCAGACAAGAGATCTGAAAGAGAGAATAACAAAGGGTTTGTGACAAAGCTGACACAGAGTCCCCTGAAAGGAGCAAAATCAATTGTGACATTTTTCATTTATTTGTAAATGCATCTTTGGCAGTGTGCTCACTCCAAACGACAGCTGACTCTTATAGAATAGGGGAGGTGATGGTAAAAGAGAGGAATCCTGACAGTCGCTTTAATGAGATTCTGCATCAGGATCACTCCACCACTTTCCCTCAACAAGGAGTGTGCCCTTCACTTTCAATCTTGCCTCCTCCAATTTGGAAAGCATTAACCCTATGAAAAACTCAAGTCAGCCTCCTCTAATCAGCATCACAGCTCTTCTTCCTACACCTCCATCACCATCTCACTGACATTTATGTATGGAGTCTGCTCACGATTTTAAATACGTATAAGTACCACAGAGAAAATTAAACTTCAACCTGATAGTATTACTTTAATCAAAGTCTAGTTGCAGTGTGTGTGGTGAGAGGACAAGACTTAAAATACACCTTAGCTGATATTAGGAGCTCAAGCCCAGAAAGCTTCCCTTCCAGCTCTAGGAATTATGCTGCTTAAAATGTTCAATGCAGGAACCTCGGATGCTCACATTTTCTTTATTACAAAAGTAAATAGGGAAATTTTTAACAGGACAGGAAACTTGCCTTGCAAATATTGAGAGAATGATCATTCTGGGAACAGAAGCAGACAAGGAATTTTAATAACTAATGATGTGCAGCATGATACCAAATATTTCAGGAAAAGGCCACTGGCTTGAGGATCTAATGCTTTAGTACACTTACTCTAATCTGAGATATTTCATTCTCACATTTTCCAACAATAACACATTTTTTTGTTGTTCAAACTTGTTTTCTAGTACTATATCACATATCTTTCAATGGAACTAGATGACAGCACTGCATATATCATGGTAGCCTCAGGCTGCACTGAAATTAGTATTTTATCCTCTGTTAACATCAGTAAAACATTTGTATTACAACAGGAAGTTTTTTGTAAAAAAAAAAACCAAACACATAGACACAGAAAAAAATATCTCCAAACCTCTCATACTGCCATTGCTAAGAGAAGCCTGAATGCCATCTCTTTTGCATGCAATTCTCCCTCTTCTGAGCAATAAAGCTGGTGAAGGGACGAGAGAAGAAGTCCTATAAGGAGCAGCTGAGGGAGCTGGGGTTGGTTTAGTCTGGAGAAAAGGAGGTTCAGGGGAGATCTTATCACTCTCTGCAACTACCTGAAAGGAGGCTGTAGCCAAGTGGGGATCAAGTCTCTTCTCCCTAGTAACAAGCAAAAGGACAAGAGGAAACTGCCCCAAGTTGTGCCATGGGAGGTTTAGATTGGATATTAGGGCAAAAAAATTCACCAAGAGGTCTGTCAAGCCCTGGCACAGGCTGCCCAGGCTGACTCACCCTGCCAAGAGGTATTTAAAAGACATGTAGATGTGGCACTTGGGGACATGGGGCAGTGGAGGTTTAATGGTTGGACTCGATCTGATTTCTAGATAAACAAGCTTGGTTTGAAAAAACTAAAACATCTGCACTAATACTGGTTAGAAAACAACTCCATCTCACCTCTGTATGAAAGCTGGCTAGTAAGTCATGTTTGAGGAGTCTGCAATGAATTAATCTATGCCACAATCTGCTCGACAATCTGTCTACATAAACCATGAATAAAGATCATTCATTGCTTGAAAAAAAGGAGAGAGAGATGGATCATCTTCATGAGTTAAGAGCAGTTTGCCTGACAGCCTTCAGAGAACCAGTGCAGTAATCCACAGCTCGAGCAAAACTTCCATTTTCCATTTGATTAATTTATTTAAAAAACACAGTTCTTTAGAGTATTGTGGAGTTTCCTAGAAGAAATCTTTTTGGCACCTTCAAGTTAAGGATGCAGATTAAAGGTGTAACTTTGAAATCGTTTGCAATATCCTTCCTGGTGTGTATAATCTTTCAAAGAGCCTCAATTGATAGAAACAAGGACTGTAATCCACTTTCTGTATTAGCTTTTCTTTTTTCTCTCACTGAAGGTTCACTCTTCACTGAAACACTTTTAAATTAGCGTCACGAAGCCCAGCACAACATTAAATCACTTACTGAGCATATCAATCTCAGTTAACAAAAAAAACCAGAGTACACTTAAAAACAAATTCTCTGGTAGTTTCTTCTGATTGAAATCAAATCTCCTAAGTTAAAAGACCCCTCATATTTCATTCCTAGAAATATACAGTTACTCCTAGCAACCTCTCACATTTGGATGGAAAGCAGAAAAGGCCAGTTTTGGCCTGTGCTCCAGTAAGGGAGCACCAATGAAAAATAATGAAGTCAAACACACATTTGGAAAAAAATTACTATTTAGCTCCAAGGAAGGTTGTTTTATAATTCAGACAGGTGATCTGGAGGCACAGCGGAGCAATAATGACTAACATCACATACTAGAGGGAGTATAAATTTTAATGATACCACTCATAAACCCCACATTTTAAAGGTTACAAAACAGAAACAAGCTTACAAAGAAAACACATAAATCATTCAAGGTGTTGGGTTCCCACTCCTTAGCTATTTTAAGAACTAACAGCCTGTCCATCACTAAATAAACTAGAATATGCTGTACTCATTTATGCAGGGCTGAAAAGGAATGTACACTAGAGTTCAGCAACCATTCACCACTATAGACTCTATTCTTAGCAACACAATAGCCATAACCATTTATTCATTACTCAATAAAATTAAACAGAAACACTGGACCAAATTCACTTTCATCTAGACAAGATCTCAACAACACATAATTAGCACTATAGTTACACGGAGTTCTCAGCCAGAGACATTAATGCACTTAGCTATTTGTTCTTACACACTTCATTGTAGGCCCTTAAATATCTTTAATGGGGCATTTACATCAACAGACTGGATCACTTGAATGCCCTAAGACAGTTAAATATCACAGAACAACAAAATCTATTAAAACACTGGAGTGCCTACTATAATTTGTTCTTAGTTTTTCAACTTTAAGTTCAAAATTGCCTTGCAGAGAGTTCACTCATTAACTGCTGCACCTGGACAAGGAAATTGAGAAGTGGACCCACGGGAACCTCATGAGCTGCAACAAAACCAAGTTCAAGGTGCTGCATCTGGGCTGGTTGGAGAACAGAGACAAGTGTGTTGCAAAGAAACTTTCTATCCCCGCTCTCCACTCATCCTATGAGAATGAAACAAAGCTCTGTATTCTCATTTTTATTAATTTAATTGGACTGAATTGCAACTGTATTTATTGTTGTGCCTATAAGCTATCAACACAGGACATTTTAAATGGCTGGTTGTTGAAATGCTGACTCAGAGCCAATGAGCCATTCATAACTTCACAAACTGTGAACTTTGACAGACTTATCATTCAAATGCAAAAATGATCCTTTGAGCTGAACAGGAATTTCCAGAAAAGATGTGTAGTTTTGCTCAGTGGTCACTTCTCTTAGTCACAGAAACTGGCACCTCCATTTCACTCCCAGTAACTTCCACCTTCACAACACTAACATACTCCAGGCTCCCTTCTGGTGGCAGCACACCAAGGGCCAGGCTCACCATGAAAAGCTTTCACTGCATAATGCTTTCTGCATTCCAGAAATCAGGCTTTTAGAGTTTGGTTTTCAACACTCACTCTGCTTTAACATTACTTTTAAACTTAATATCCTTTTATATTTGAGCTGGTTAATGGATAACTCAAAACTGATTTATTTTTTCAGAATTAGACACACACTGAAAGACACTTGAACCAGGGTCATTTTGCCTTGCTGCAAAGTCCAACAAGATTATCAAATAAGGCCTCATCCAAAATCCTCCCATGTCAAACAGAATATTTCTACTGGCTGGGTTTCATATGGAATGCAGATTTGGGATCTAGTCTCAATCCAAATGGGAGTGCAGCAATCAACAACACAACTACAGAGCTCTCACTAGCACTTAGGGGATTTCAAACTGCAACCTTACCTCTGAAATTTCTGCATCCAATTATCAGTTACCAGAGGCCACCAATCTCTTAAACTTTAATGGTTAAAGAAAACTCAGTGTTTGGTTTACAAAGGCAATAAACACCTAAATGTTTGCAGTAAACTGTTTTCCTTACGGTGTATTTTTAATTCTGGAATCCTTTCCTGTAGCTCTGGAGGAACTTTATTTAAGTAAACTGCTAACCTATTATTTTTCCAGTCTTTGTTTTCTTTAGGAAATTATTTAAGAAAAACCTCAAACAGTGATCTCAGCATTCATACAGCAGTGAACTTCAGATACAGTAATTGCATTGCTGTGAGCTATGACGACTTTCCCATGGGGGAGAAATGACCTGGTAATTCAAGAATGACAAAGTCAAAAGTAAGGTAAGCTGGGGGAGGGAAAGGATTTCCCCCTAGGATGAGATAAATATAATTTCTCACAGCAGTGTATATGTCTCTTAAGCCTCAGGTGGTTTTAAGTTAATGAGATTAGTTCCAGCAGGCAGTGAAATCCCAGGATATAGGATTTATATTTCAGCAGTTTTCACTTCATCCAGCAAGCACGGTGAAGTCAATCTTTGTGTCATTTTGTTATTGTCCTGGTTTGGGTCTTGTTCTCAGGCTCAAGCCTGGCTAAAGCACCTCGTAACTTTGACTTGAAAGCTTAAGCATCATGTAAAGAGTATGTTTAAAAGGGAGGAGAAAGGCAGCAAACTTAATCTCCAGGAAAGGATTTTTTATTTAACTTTTCAGATGTACTTTTATGCAATGGAATTTGTTCTTATACTTTTTTTTTTTATTCTACCAAGGTCACACACATTTTTATCCTGAACACGAAATAAAAACCAGAATGCATTGTTGCAAAAGACGCTGCTTTTAAAAAATTTACACCCTAGAAAGAGAGACATCTTTAGGATGACTGACTAGTTCAGTCTTCTATGTGTTGAATGATTACCCTGCTTGATAACAACCAAAATGAGCTCCCACCCACTGGATGTACAAACTGGA